CCCCAAAACCCCAAAACCCCAAAACCCCAAAACCCCTCTTCGACTCTATATAGTAGAAAAATGATTATTTACTCTTTAAGGAATCTTTTGACCTCATTGAAGTCAGTATGCTGGTTCATATCTTGCTGTTGGTCATCGTCATCACTTAGGTTACCATCGACAATGAACATGGAGACATCCTCGACGACCTTAATGCCATAACTTTCAGCCTCCTCTTCTTCTTTGAGGTTGAACCAGCTGTCATTGCCCTTCTTCTCACTGTATTGGGAACATTGATCTGTGATCCGAATGTGCTTTCTGATTTTATTACTCTGTTTCTTGTTGTACAAGTCTTTAGAAATGGAAATATCGTTGTTTTGGGACATCTTCCTTTTCCCAAACCTCTTACCCTTCGTAGGAATCTCTAAATGCAACCTGAGGGACTCCTCCTGGTTAAAGTTCATGCTAGGGTAATCGCTGTTGAAGCTTGGAATCTGGACGCTGCCTTTTCCTGGGGACTTCCTTTTATTTATTGAAGGAATATGCATTACATGATTTTCTAATCCCTCTTAGTTTAGAGTTCGATTTAGAATCCTTCAGTGGCCGAGCCTGGAGCCTTTCCTCGATGTTTCCAGATAGCGATGGAAGTGGGTACTCGCATTCATTCACAGAACTGTTGTGGATGATGAACGAGTCTGGAGATGATGACTTTTGTAACACAGAGTTAGGCCTTAGTAGGAAATTTAGGTTATTTTAACTGTATTTTAGAATTACTCTTGTCCTTGCTAGTATCAAACTCTGACCTTTGTAGTGAGTTAATACTGTCATAGTCACATTGGGAGCGCTGTCTTTTATCTCTCTTTACAGAACCATTGGCTATATTTTTACCTTCTCTTTTCTGAACTGTTGGGCTAATAGTCAAAACGCTATCCCTAATAGGATCAGCTTCGTTCATTTTAGATTGAGACGGTTGCCTCCTTCACTGGGATTTCCGAGAATAATGGATGCTATCTTGATGATTTTTCATGAATCTATGATCGACCTCTAACTCTTTGCCGAGGTTGCGTGCCCCACGGTCTTTACAAGCACTGAGCTTATTTTAAATTTGACAGAACTTTAGAGTAGTCTTCTATAGATTGTTTTTCACGATGTGTATTAGCTTCTTCACTTAGCCTCGCTGAGTTTTTCCTGACAGCTATCTGGTACCGGGAATGATTCTTATTCGAAAATGACTTGTCCTTACTTCTTCTCTGTGGTTTCAATTTATTTAATTGGTTTTCCAATTATAGAGGCTCTATGGACAGATTTCTTGATTAATTTAGTCTCTTTTGATACACTCTTAAGGTTGTAGGGATTGGGGTTCTTCGAGAACCTACCTCTACGGACAGCCGCTGTGCTCTTCTCATTTCTGACAAGCTGGCTAATGTATTAAATTTTTGTTAATTACTTTTTATTTGAACTAAGTTTAAATGAATTCTTTGCATTATTGCTCTTATTTTTACCCCCTTTGCTGATATTCTTCTTGAAATTCCGCATGAAATGCAACTTAGTTTGATCTAGAATGGATATATACCGTAAGAATGACAATTTAGAGATCTAATTAAACAAATTATGTGGGAGGGCAACTGTATAACTTCTTACCTATCATTTTCAATTAATTTATAAATATAAGGGGTTTTGGGGTTTTGGGGTTTTGGGGTTTTGGGGTTTTGGGGTTTTGGGG